CCTCAGCTATTGGTTCATAGTTCATGTGTTTCCATTCATTTGGCTATTTGTCCCTGTGCTTTATCCAAGCTTGGTCTCAACAATTCTCGCTCATACAAACCCCCCTCTTTCTCGCCAATTGGACTCCTGGTGCTCCACCTGGGTCCTGGCCGTGGATCTCTGCATCCAGTTCCCTCAGTCATTGGATGGGGTTTCTAGCATGACAATTAGGGTGTTTGGCCATCCCATCACCAGAGTAGGTCAGTTCCGGCTGTCTCTCGACCATTGCCAGCAGTCTATTGTGGGGTTATCTTTGTGGATTTCTGTGGACCTCTGTAGCACTTTGCTTCTTCCTCTTCTCAAGTGGTCTTCATTTACCATGGTCTTTTATTCCTTGTTCTCCCTCTTTGTTCTTGATCCAGCTGGGATCTCCCGCTCCCCTAATCTTTCTTTCCCTTGACCCTCGCCCTTCGTTACCCCCACTCACATCTATGTTGTTCATGTAGATCTCATCCATTTCTCCTTAATTTGGCAATCCCTTTGTCTTTCTTGGGGTGCTCTTTTCCAGGTAGCCTCCCTGGTGTTGTGAGTAGCAGTCCAGTCATCCTTGTTCCACATCTAGTATCCTCCTATGAGTGAGTGCATACCATGTTTGTCTCTCTGAATCTGGGTTACCTCACTCAGGATGATTTTTTCTAGATCCATCCATTTGCCTACAAACCTCATGATGTCATTGTTTTTCTCTGCTGAGTATCTCCATTGTGTATCTGTACCACATTTTATTTATCCATTCTTCAGTTGAAGGGCATCTAGGTTGTTTCCAAGTTCTGGCTATTACAAACAATGCTGAAATGAACATAGCTGAGCAAGTGCTCTTGTGGTACGATTGAGAATTCCTTGGGTATATGCCCAAGCATGGTATAGCTGGATGTTGGGGGAGATTGATTCCCAATTTTCTAAGAAAGCGCCATATTGATTTCCAAAGTGGTTGTACAAGCTTACATTCCCACCAGTAGTGGAGGAGAGTCCCCATAGCTCCACATGCTCTCCAGCATAAGGTGTCTTCAGTGTATTTGATCTTAGCCATTCTGACAGGCGTAAGGTGGTATCTCAGAGTTGTTTTGATTTGCATTTCCCTGACTTTACTCATTTTTTGATATGTGGGCAACATCTCTGTTTCTAGTCCAACAGAGAGAAGTTTCTGTCATAGTGAATGCAGCAATTTATTAAAATGGAAAATGACACATGAAAGGGAAGGAAAGAAAAGATGTATAGGAACAAGGATCAATGCCAGACAGAAGGGACAGGATATTTCCTCACTTTATAGATCAAGAAAAGTGTTGGTTCAGCCAGCAGATGCCCACAGTAGGTGGAAGGATGTCAATTCATTTGCCGAGGAAGCATCTCATCACAACACTCACACCTTCCTCTGCACCCAAAACACATTTGCTCCCTGGACATTCTCTCACACTGGTTGTTCAATGTAAAAACTAGATTTTCTTGCAGAAAACTTGAGACTATCAACTTGAGACTCTGAAATTGATAACCTCCTCTCCTGTTTCTCTTCAGAAAATGGAAGGCCTCCCTTGGATATCAGCCAGCCATTGTATATAATGTTGCAGTGAGACTAGGCACCTCTTCTTCTATTAATGCTAGATGAGGCAATCCAGTAGGAAGAACGGGTCTCAAAAGTAGGCAAAAGAGTCAGGGATAGCCCCTGCTCTCACTGTAAGGAGTCCCATAAGATCAAGATACACAGCTGTAATAGATATGCAGAGGGTCTAGGTTAGTCTCATGCAGGCTCCCTGGTTGTTGGTTCATTAATTTTTTTAGAGGTCACATCTAGGCTGTTGTGAAAGAACTTTCTTCCTAGGTTTTCTTTGTCAGGTTTTGCTAATAATAATTTTCTGGTCTGATAAACTATGTTGGACTATATTTCCTCTTTCTCTAGGTTCGTAATGTCTTTATTTCAAATACACAAACATTTGGAAAAAGTCACCAGCTTCCAGAAACAGAATTTCCAAAGGGGAACGTTTCTAGTGACAGTGTGTTCAATATGGAGGAAGTCACTCAGATTTTGTATTTATTGGACAATCAAGGGATCTGTCCATTTTATGTACAGCTCCTAATGTGAGGTATAAAATTGTTCATAGTGCTCTGCTGTTAATATATTTTTAGTGACTGTCGGGAGGCTGGAAACATTCCTCTGTGGTTAGGAGCATGCACTGCTCTTGCTGAGGACCTGAGTTCAGTTCCCAGCACCTACAGCATGTAGCTCACAAACACCTAAAACTCCAGCTCCAATGTCCACTCTGGCCTCCATAGGCAACATACACACATGAAATAAAAACACACAAATACATATATATATATACATAAATACAACACAATAAACCTTTAAGAAGATAAAGTGAATATATGGTTTTACATACCGGGAACCGAGGCAGAAGGACAGCAGGTTTGAGGCCAGTCTTGTTGGGTTTACAAACCTACATCACTATATCCAGCTTTCATTTATAATTGTTAGTTTATATTTTAAATTGTTTTATTTATTTCTTGGGTGTGGGGAGGACACCAAGGACTTAGGTGGAGGTCAGTGAACAAGTTGTAGGAGTCAGTTTTCTCCTTGCCCTATTCCTGCTGATTGAAAATAGGATATCAGGCTTGGTGGCAAGTACCTTTACTGGCCAAGCCATCTCACTGGCCCTATTTTATTTACTTATTCTTTGAGACAAGGTTCCTCTATGTAGCTCTGGATACTTAGAACTCACTATTAGACCAGCTGGCCTCAGACGGAGAGAGACCTGCCTGCCTCCACCTCCTAAGTGCTGAGACTGAAGGCATCACCACCATGACTGGCCTGTTTATTCTAAAACAGTGTCACATGGGTTCCAGGCTGGCCTCTTACTCCTGTGCTATATAGGTGAAGATGACATTGACTTCTTGATTCTCCTGTCCACACCTTCATAGTGCTGGGATTTCAAGTGTGTACCTCCACCCTGGCCTTTGGTGGTTAATTTGTGAATCATGTCTCACTCTGTCGCCCAGGCTGGCATGAAATTCACTAGGTATGCCAAGATAATCAGATAACAAAGGCAATTTTCCTGCCTCAGCCTCCCAGTGCTTGGGATTATGGATCTGTGCAAACAAGCCTGTAAATTTTCTTATTTCATGGCTTTGAAGAGTGATGTCATTAAAATTAGTACTCAGTGTAAAACCATTTCCTTCTATTTAGTTTCTCATTTCATGTGTTTATTGAGAAATCTGCTTTATTTCCAAAATGTATGATGTTAGTTAAAATGCAATAAGGTTCTCAAAAGTTCACAGAATCCCTTGGAGATCTCTGTTCAGTCTCCCAGCAGGCAGAGGGTCATTGCTCCTTGTTACTGGGAACAGAGCCATGTTGAGTGACTGCCAGAGCAGCATATACAGTGGACTCCTCTGGGGCTTCCTCTGCCTGGGAGGGAGGAGGTGCAGCTGTCCCCTGTCTGAGTGACCTGGTGCACAGCTGGGCATAGGTCACATCCGGGGCTTCCTCGGATTCAGCAGCCTGGAGTGGGAGAGAGTGAGAGGAAGGTTATGCTTGGCTTGGGGGATGCTGAAATCCTGGGGAGGACAGGACTCACCTGACTGTCCATCTCTCTGTCATCTTCTGCTTGTCCATCTTTTGTGTCCAGGACTTCTCCTGACATGACAGAAGGTAGGACAGCTCCTGTCCTGCTGACCCTGGAGCCTTTCACCTGGGCATATGTCTCTCCCTGGGGGTCTTCCTCAGCTGGTCTCTGTAGCAGGGAAGTAGTGAGGGACAGACAGTGTCTCCCTGTTCCCTTGGGTATCTCTGGCCAGTTTTCCACAGCGAGGCTAGAGTGACCCATTTAGATGACAGCATCCCTGACAGGATCTTCTGGGGCTTCCTTCCTACAGTTCTGACCTCACTGTCCTTGCTGTACTCACAGAGTTCATCTTCCTGGAAACATATTTCTGGGGGCTGGAGAACTGGCTCTGTGGTTAAGAGCAATGGATTCTACTGCAGAAGATCCAAGTTTGGTTCCCAGAACCCACAAGGCAACCCACATTCATATGTAAATCTTATTCCAGGGTATATGGCATTCTATTCTGTCCCCTGGAACACCATGCATGCATGTGGTGCAGAGACATACATGCTTGTAAAACATCCACACACACAATACAAAACCCCACGTTTCTGCCCAAGTCCCTTTGGTTCCTGCCTGCGACTGCAAGTCCCTTAGATGTTTCTGTGGGCTTTCCCTTCCAGGCTGCCCCTCAGAAGACAACCAGACAGATGCCAAGGAGCCAGAAAGGGGATAGGAGCAATGGGACACATAATCCCTGGAAAAACAGGAGAGAGTGATGCAGGTTGTACTTGCAGAAGAGAGGTAAGGCATTAGCTGTTCTTGCTTCTGAGGGAGAACAAAAAAGGCATCCTCTGGACTAAACTGGGCCCTAAGTCTTAGCACTGCAGATAGGGACAGAAACCTCACCCAACTATCCAGCTTGGCACCATCCTCAGGCTGTGTGTCCTCTGCTGAAGTGTCTGTCAGAAGAACAAACAGAATGTCTCCTGACCAGGGTCTAGGGATGACTCTGACCGTTAGTTTTCTGCATTGCCCCCGGTGCAGACAGAGAATTGGGGAGTGTTGTGATTTCCAGTGTCTATAGTGAGAAGTTCAGACCCAAATAGCAAAGACCCCAGAGCCTCTCCACCACCCCTGCAACGCTGAGTCCTCAGACATCTCCCTCCCCAAGACCCTCTTTAACTCACAAAGGCTTTCTTCATGGGTGGCAGCAGCTGGATTGGATCTGGAGAGACAAGAAGATGTCAGTTGTCAGTGAGGTGTGTCAGGAAGGTGGTGTCTATGTCTCTGGCCATGAGTTACCTATTCTGGGAGCCTCTGTCTCTGGTTATTGGCTCTGAAGCTCCTGTAGGAAGTTGCAATTCCATATCTTTCTGGGCTGCAAGAGAGATAAGAGGCTCAGGTTCCTCCTCCCTCCAGGCATGTACAGGGAAGGAACGAAGGATCCTTTACAACATGGGTGAGTGAGCAAATGTCCCAGGACATGGTGAAGCTCACAGAACCCCTGACATCACACAGGTTCTGAGATCATGATCTTTCTGATCTTAGATCAGCAGTGTTTCTAAACTCCCCATTCCATTTGAGGCTTCCCTGGTATTGGTGTCCTGATCCCCTGCTTGGCTATTCACAGGGGAACCTACCACCAGCTGAGACCCAGGTCACCCACACCTTACTCACCATCCTTCCTGAATTTTTCCTGATGCCTTCGTCGGAGAAGGAGGAAGATGAGGATGAAGAGGAGCAGGAGGAAGGCCATAGAGACTCCGACCAGAGCCTTCAGGTACCCTTCCAGTCCTGAGACACGAGTGACTTCATGAGAGGGGAATGTTGCTGCTTAACTGAGTACCTACTGTGTGACAGACGCATGCTGGGTCTTTGCACTCATCTTTGCTCTTCACAATTATACAACAAGGAATTGTCTTTTTTTCTACCCCACAGTTCACCTGCCTCAGATCACCTGACTGGAAGTGGCAGAGCTGGGAGCTGAACCCAGGGCCTCTTACTTCCATCTCTTTTCTCTCCACCAGAGCCAAGCCTCCTGACTGGAGGGGAGGAGCCTGAATGGCCTGCCATGGCCCTTTGCTCCACTTTCCACACATCACCACCACTGTGGGACAAGCCCACTGAGGAATCAGGTTCTGGGGGACTCCTCTGTCAGGAGAGGTCACAGCCAAGGCCAGTCCTGAAAGAAATTTGGACATGTGGGCCAGGATTCTTCTCTTTTTCCTCAGAAAAACAGCAGTCAATCCAGAAAAGGAAAGGCTGGTCCAAGTCAGCATCTCCAGAAGCAGCTGCATCAAGCCTATAACTAGTTATTGCCCACCTGGGCCCCACTTTTCAACAGAGTCCTTATTATCCTTATGGGGCCTGACTCCATGCAGTTGAGAGAGGTTTGTTCTCAGGGCTTTAGAGGCAGGAGCGGGGGGCAAATGTCTGGGATTCCTGCTCTCCATATCACCTACCTGCCCAATCCTCCAGACAGAGCCAGAATATCTGTCTCTCTCTGGATGCCACCTTCTGTATCCCAACCTCAAGTTCTGGGTCTCTGTGGTCTCTGTTGGGAATCTCTGTTTTCCTCCCACACTCACAAGCTAAAGTGACAGAAAAATGAGGACTTTGGTGGCCTAAGAGCTGAGAGGCAGCCTGGGGATGGAGCATATTCTATGCTTTGATGTGCCTGATACCAGCTGTTGGCATAGGTCTTGAGGGTGGTGGGCTGCAGGCTCTATTGGGTCCTTGGAAACAGAACAAGAGGCAGGTGAGGGTTTGATACTAACCCAGGAACCTCTCTCTGCTCACTGTCATACATCTGTCCTGTAACCTTTCCAAGATGCTCATGATGTCTACTCCAAACCTAGATTGCAATAGAGGATGGAGTGGACATTACTAGAAACCCTGCTGTTGCATCCACTTCTCCGTCAGGGAAAGTGCCTTCTGACTAACCTTCCTATTGTCCCCCTAACCCCACCCAAGTCAAGGGCTCTCCTAGGGTTTGAATTTTAAGTCACGCTGAAAGTTCAGGGTCACCCCACCTGAGACAATGAGCTCCACAGGGGCACTGCCATGTGACAAGAGGTAGGGAGATGGATCTTGAGATCCATAGCACCTGTAGGTGCCCGAGAGGGCAGAGGTCACAGCACTCATGGAGAATTCTGCCTTAAAGTCCCAAGCTTCAGACTTTGATTTTAGCCTCTGGGGTTGGTGGGCTGCTCCCTCCTTGGACAGAATGAAAGTGTCCACCTTGTATGTTGACTGACAAAGCAAGGTCACGTTGTCTCCAGAGTGTACTGTGGAGTTAGGTTTCACTGAGAGGGAAGGACTGAAGGGAAGCTGTCCTAAAGAGAAGAGGGGGGATGAGAGGCTGCCTTCAATGTTCTGAGCTGACACCTCAACTTTGTCTGCCCTGAGCACCTGGGACTCTGTCTCTTTTCTCAGACTTAGCCGCTCTCCTGTTCTCCTGCCTCTACATCTCTTCCCAAATAAGATTCCTGTCCCTCATCCCAGCCATCACCTCCTTAACCCCCCCCATGAGAACCCATGAAGAGGATAGGTATCTGAGGGAATATATTATCCCCTCACCTATGATAAGGATGTCCATGGGGTCACTGGAGGCTGACCACTCAGAGGAGAGGTTGTGTGCACCATAGCATCTGTATTGGCCTCCAGTAGAGCTTCTCACAGGGCCCAGTGTGAAGTTGGCCAAGGAGAGGCCACTCTGGGTCCACTGGACACGATGCTGGGTAAAGTTACCTCCTTCTAACTTGTATAGAGCAAATCTGTCATAGTTGATATCAGAGCAACACTGCAGGGTGAGGCTCTTCCCAGGGTCCAGGATCTGGCCTTGGTGACTCAGCAAGGAGGGCTTCTTGGACAGGCCTAGAGGGAAGGTGACAGGCTAGTGATTGAGGAGCTGATTTTTACCAAATACTTATCCACTCTCATCCTGTGCTTCACACGTCACTTGTTCTCCCCAGGAGTGGGGTTCTGTATCAGCCACCAGGCTGTTCCTCACCCACTCTCTACCTGCAACTACCCAGTAGGACAGGATTGGTCATTGGTGGAGCTGGCTCACCTGAGATGTGTGTTTCCAGGGTTTCACTGGGTACTGACCACAAATGTGGAGTTTGGTTGTAGTAACCATAACATCTGAATGTCCCTCTGTGGTCTGATGTTACATGATCTATAGAGAACAAGGCTTGGTACTGTATAATACTGTGTATGAACTGTGAGTTCATAGAGCTGAGGAACTTCTGGTCATCCTTGGTGAGAACAAGTTTATCATATCCCTCCTTGGAGACACACTGGAGGGTCATGTTCTCTCCTAAAGCCACCACAGGGCTGGGCAGGACTGACAGGCTGGGTTTGTTGTGGTAGATTCCTAGGAGAGAAGGAGGCAGCCTGTTTCATGGACTCACACAGCCATAGTGTTCTCCAGGGCTAGGCTGCGGGAGGGGAATACTCCTGAGAGCAGAGCCCAGGACTGAGACCCTGATTGTCCCCTCACCTGTCACCACCAGTTCCATGTTGTCACTGCGCTCTGACCAGCCTGCTGAGCTGTAACAGTAACAGCGATATTGTCCCCCATGTTGCTGGGTCACAGAAGGGATGGAGAACTTGGCCTTATTTTCAGGCTTCTCTCGGGTCTGTGTGCCCCAGGGTTTTTGGCTTCCCTCTTTATGCAGAACACATATTTCTGCATCCAGAGTCCCTTGACACCAGATTGTCATGTGACTTCCTGATGTGACCACAGAGGCTGGCTCAGCCTTGATGGTGGGTTTGTGGAGGGTCCCTGCAAGGAAGTAGGACAGAGGAGGTGAGTGTGTCTGACAGTGGCATGGAGAGAATCTCACTTTTGGTTGGCACTTTTATTTTCTTTTAATTTATTCTTCTGTCATACAATACATCCCGACCGCAGCCTTCTCACCTCATCTCTAACCAGATCCACTCCTTTTCTGTTTCTTTAGAAGAGAAGAGGCTTCCCAGTGATATTAACCAAACATGGCATAACAGCATGCAATAAAACTAGGTACACACCCTCATATTAAGGCTGCACATGTCAATCCAATAGGAAGAAAAGTATCCCACATGCAGGGAAAGAGACAGAGATTTCCCTGTCATATTGCTTTGAATCTAATAATAACCCCAAGCAAGCCAGGTGGTGGTGATGCACACCTTGAATCCCAGCACTCAGAAGACAGATGCAGGGAGATCTCTGGGCGTTCAAGGCCAGCCTGGTCTACAGAGTGAATTTCAGGACAGACAGACCTACACAGTAAAACTCTAAAAAACAAAACAAAATATAACACAGGGTAAACCACCACAGCATGAGTGCAGAGGGTCTAGAGCAGACCCATGTAGACTCCATGGCTGCTGCTTCAACTCTATGAGCCTTCATGATCCCTGCTTAGTAGATTCTCCTGTTGTCCTCAACCATTCTGGCACCTATAACCCTTCCCCCTCTCTTCTGTGGATTTCCCCAAGCTCTAGTGGATGGTACATGAGCTGATTTGGAGTAAGAGAAGACCCCATAAAGATTCATCTGTCTTGTTCCACCTGTGCTTTGCTCTTATTGTCTGCCTTGGATTCTGTATCTTGTGTCCCACACTCTCTACCATGCTCTGTGTCAATGGCCTAAGGAGCCCTGACTGCTCACACATATCACACACTACACAGCACTCACCAAGGCCTCTCTGAGCATCTGTATCATTTCAGCATCATTCCAGAGAAAGACTGAGGTTCCTCACCTGAGAACAGGAGCTCCAGAGGGTCACTAGGCTCTGACCACACCAATGGGCTTCTCTCGTAATTGCTGTAGCATTGGAATGTCCACCTTTGTCTGGAGGTCACAGGGCCCACAGAGTACAGGGCCTTGTAGTGCTGATTAGAGAAGTTATACTTTGAATGCAGCATTTGTGAGATATTCCGTGTTCCTTTCCCAGTCAGAATGAACCTGTGGTATCGTTGTTTTGAGACACACTGGAGGGTTACATGTCCTCCCTCAGTCACCACAGGGCTGGGCTTGGCTGACAGGCTGGGTTTGCTGTGTACTCCTAGGAGAGAAGAAGAAATCAGTTAAATCTATCAGACCTCCTTATCCTGCTTGGCTCTAGGTGGGATTAGCCCTGTGAACAGAACCAATTCTTGACAGTCAAGGCTGAGGCTGGGGAGCCTGTGTGTCCTCTCACCTGTCACCACCAGCTCCAGGGAGTCACTGAACTCTGACCATCCATCTTGAGTCTGATAGCAACATTGATATCGACCTGCTTGATTGTGGTCTATTTTTGGGATTGAGAATTCTGCCTTGTTCTTAGGCCTCTGTGGAATCTCTGTGCTCCGTAGATACTGGGATCTCTCTTTATAGAGTATGTACTGTTTAGCTCCTGTGGTCCCCTCACAAAAGAAGGTCACTGTAGTTTGTTTGTATACCACAGAGTCTGGCTGAACTGTGAGGATAGGCTTAGCTAGGGCCCCTACAAGAAAAAGAGCAGGCAGAACTCAGGACAGCCATCATCCAATTGTAGTCCCCAACCCCAGCCTTCCAGCCATCCCCAGGGGCAGCACACAGGTGTTGTTCTCCATCCTCACTGCCCAGGCATGGCTGCAGGACTGATCAGAAGTGAAGGTCAGAACATCAGCAGACACTCACTCACCGGCCAGCACTGGTGTCCTGAGGCCCAGAGTCAGTCCTGGAAGAGAGTTCCCTGTGAGAGGTTTGACCCTGAAGCTTGAGCAGGTCCTCTCCTCTGCAGAACCTCCTGAGACCCTGGGGTTTCCTGATGGGCCAGTGCTGGGCTGTGTGGCAGCATCAACCCTAGACCACAGTATCCCCTCCCCCTCTGCACATCTCACCCAGACAGAGCAGGGCTGTGAAGGTGAAGGTCATGGCATCTCCTCCAGGAGGCTGCAACTGTGCTCATGGGCACATGAGATTGTCTGGATGGACAGGAGAAACAGGGTGTGGTCTCTGGAGGCTGGACACTCCCTATGACATGGTTGTACTGGATCAGCCCCACAGGAAGGGGAAGTGCCCTCCTCAGGCCCCAGGCTCTGACTTCTCCAAGGATGTGGTTAGGTCAGGCAGTAGACACTGCCATCAATTCTTTGATGGATGACATTTCCATAACCCCATAATTTTCTGTCTCCTTCTGTCCTAATCTTTGTCAGGGCCAGATGGTATCAGACATGTATGACTATTACACATAAGAAATATAAATTTAGCCA